CTATATGTATTTAAGTACCATTACAAGAGTGAATATTTGCTGAATACATGCCGTACATTTTAGATCAGTWAAAATCATTGCAATGAAAAATTATGAAAATGTTACATTACATTAAAAGAAGTTAAAGTTATTTTGCTAATATTCACCTTGCAACTGAAKAACAGGTTAATTAATTGATTACAGGCCTTTTGTATTTAAAGCCTTCKGGGTCAATCGGGCATAACATTCCTTTTTTACAGATACAAAACAAAAGTAATGACTTGAAATGCGAAACCCTTACCAGATTAGCGAAGATTTTGTTGCATTTTGCATGATAATAAATAATGGCAATATTTAAGGGTCTGGTTTAGGATAAAGTGCGCACCACATGTCACTCAACAAAACCTTCATCAGACGTTTTTTGACATGATGGACTTCACTACTACATTTTATCTTGCCTACAACTTTACTTACGAATCCGGTAAAACTATTATCCTTTTAGTAGAAATTCTTTTAGAAATTCGTATCATTGTCATGAAATGRAACATAAAAGATTATGCTATGATCAGAATGAGCATTTGGTAACAAAAGTGGTGTCAAATCTTATCAAAAAAATATATGATCTTATATTTTCTAAAATCAAAACCTCGAAGACCTTTTAATTTGTATACGGAGTCTATGAAAAATATAATCATGAAACAATCATGTGGTMGGTTTYATCACAAATAAAGTACCAGATGAAGTTAYCCACTCCAGTCAGACATTTGGTAAGGATTYCATTCGCTGTAGCGAGTGTCTATCCGGTGGATAGCTTTATCCGTACAATCGGCCCCTGATATGTAATGGTGAAAGGAAGAATACACATTTCTTTAACAAAATTGTGCAAACTTTTCTTCTCTCATTTATCAGTTCGCAAAGAATAAAATAGTATATAACAGCTGTTAGAGTTCTATCCAAGGGTATGTACCAACACTCGCTAACGCTTCAYTCGGAATATTTTATCTCTCAACATTGCTTATATGTTGAAGTTTCGGTTACTTCAAGTTGCTTCTTTTTCCATAAAACAAACCTTCCTTYTCCGACATTTCAGCAGCTTGTTCCAAGGCATCTGCAAYTGACAAACCCTTTTCTTCAGCATTATCCATTAGGCTGAGGATCTGTCCCAGGACACTTTCACTTGTTCTCCATGTTGGACGACTTCGTGTGGTTGCTTCATTACCAGGGTCGTTTAATTGCATATTGTTTTCTAGTTCTTTGGAATTACCCTCTGGCGCGTGTACTATTTTCTCATAKGAATCTAGAGCCTCCACATAGCTTCCAGTACGTTGCCATCTCGGTTTTGAAGGTGGTAAACTACTTCGTTCTTCAATCACTACAGATTCAGTCTCATCTTTACTAATTGAGCCTAGCGAACAAGCTTTATCATYAAAAGGTTCTTGCGCATGAAATTCAACGGCACTTGTCTGAATGCACTCTTTTGCATCACTACTGTCCTGTTCTTTAGAAATTACCTCTGGTTGAGGCTTAYTTTCAACGTATTCCAAATTAGATAAATTTACAGCTTTGCCATTTTCCAACTTAAACCTCGACGAATCAACCGTTTTMGATGGAAAGTACTCAATGAAAAATTCATTCTGATCTTTTGACTTTGTTTGCGCTTTTGCAAATGACTTAAGTTTGGTTTTCAATTGTTTTGTTCGTTCTTTATCCCTGCCGACTTCAATGTTCGATAATTTATCTAAAACATCGACAACAGGAACGCCAAGCTTATGAGCGTCTTCGATCGAGTGTTGAACATGGTCAAGYTTGAAYGTATTCCTCGACTCGCTTAAGCAAGGATTTGATAATTCAGACTCGTCTCTTTGATCAGCCACAGTTTCGTGGGGTGTCGGACCAACCAATTTGGTATCATACTCTACAATATAWGTGCTTCTCTTTGGGATCGATTCCAGTGAGTTGTCATTCTGGAGCTKGCTGTCTATTAGATCTTGTTGTTGTTTTGAAGAATTATCTGTAACATGTTTTCCGTTTGATAAGTCTTCGCTCTTGTTTTCTTTATTATTCACATTCCGTTCTTTTACTATTGAACGCTCATTTATTCTGGCATCATCTAAGGGTTGGCGCAAGTCCTCTATGTTGCACGTCTCGCGTTTAACATTTAAAGCACTGTTATCCAAGACTCTTGTGGCAAGCGTGTCAAGACTTTTAACTATTGGTGAACCTTGATCTTTCAGGCGATCTAACT